GTAGCTACACAATGAGGTGTGAGGATTAACTGATGTAACAGTCAGTACAGGTGCTTATCTTCTCCAACTCTGGTACCACTGTAAGGTCTCAGAGTAAAAGGCTTGCTCGGCCTGGGCGGCAGTCGATCCGCGATTTGACCACAGTATCGGGCGCGTAGTAAGCGTGCCACTATCCACTGCATCACCTACTCTCATGTTATTAATGATACTCACCAATATCTTCCGGTTGATCTATATCATCACTATCATCACTTAGTTCAATGTCGTCGTGGTCCTTCTTCACAACTACAGAATTTTCGTAGCTATACCCGATTGTTGCCTTGGATTCGGAAGATTTCCTGAACAAAACACCATATATTACCATTACAAGCATGCATGAGTGTTGGACATGAAGCATGCCACACACTTTTTCTTATCATGCTCCGTCTTCAGCTGATCATCTTTCGGAATTCTCCAGAACTCTTTTTCCGCAATTTTACGTAAATACTCCTGAATTCAGAGTGTTCATAAAACAAATCAAGTCCTGGAACTCAAGCGTAAAATGGATCAAAATCAGCACCTTTTCAGAGACGTCTCTATATTCGTTGATTATTAGCACTCGATATCGCTCAAAATCACAAATCATTTCAATTCTTTCATCCTCACTGGAAATGGTGGATATTAAAATTTGGTCGGATTTCTGTTTGACTTATGGCCGGCTTATTTTCCAAAATCAGACCTGTCCGGCACAACGGACTTCTTCTTGACCGGTGGAATGAAATCCAGATGAGAACGCACATCGAAGCGATCGATCATCACTGTGGGGTCTCCTTGCCACTGCCGTCTAAATGGAAAGGACTATTGTGCTCGGAAATCTTTAGCTTATCAGCTATCACTGCATTGCAAGAGCTTGAAAAGAGCTCACAAAGACAAATCAGCCGCCGCAATGCAAAACTCACAGTATGTTACCATCCTCTGCAGCCTTTGCAATGCTTTTGTCCGTATGAATAATACATTTGCGACCATGCAGTTGCATAAACTGATCCGGATCCTTTCTCTGAAGGATAACACTGAGGAAGTGTAACCCACATGAGAACGTTATTATGTCAGCCTCAATAGTTACTATCACCATTGCCGTGGTGAGCACGACCTCTAGGGGCAGGGCAAAGGATTGCACTGAAAACGAGCATGCGCACTTTTTGGGCCGCTTACTTTTACCGGATAAGGCTTACCTGCGCTCTTCCTCACATCCTAAATCCACAGTACTAGAAAAGTGAAATCAACCTTCAGTCTACAACAACACAAAAATTCCTACTTAAAATTTCTTGAACTAATTTTCCACCAGTACTGCAAAGCTTCAGTAAAAAGCACCTCAAGGGTGACAAACTTTTAAAAATCACGGAATCAGAAGATTTGCAAAACCATCAAAGTCTAGCGACCTCTCCCTCTTTTCACCTTTTACTGCTTTAGGTTGGCGGGAAAGTTCTGTCACTCTTTTCCGAACTCAAATTACTTGTCCATTACCAAGAGTGGTAACCGGTAATATAAGCTCTTATACAACAAGTAGTGGTCTCTCTGTTAGTACCACTCGCTTACCTCTTGCTCCTTCTTCTGCAATATGCACAAGGATTTTATCCGCTCATCAGAACCGACCCATCCAACAACTTCCACAAACTATTTCACGCACCACCTTGGCGCCAGCGTGTTAGCTGCAGATGCCAAATTGATGGAGCTGAATAAGCACTGATAGCCCCCAATCATCGAGCAACCTTACCACGACACAACGCTTCAAGCGGAGCCTAGGGAGCCTACAGTTTTGATGACGAAGTGAGGTTTGGGTCACCTGCAACCTCAGCTTGATGAGCTATGGGTCGGGAGACTGGTGATTGAAGAAGCTGCTTCCTTGTCCAGGCGTACGCAAAGAAGCCACGAAGATTTAAGGCGTATCGTGGATCAGAGGGAAAAATTCGTCCGCATAAGCGGCCCTCACCAAGATAGTGCAACGTACTTGGTCAAAAAAGTTCAAGCCGTACCTCATGCAATGCAGCTTGATCTCTCTCCCCTTGCAATTGTGTAGCACAGACATCGCCCTTCTAATAGCGAGTTACCTTCCGTAATCGATCGTTATGGCGAGCGAGAAAACTCCAAAACTCAAGTGTCAAGTCGAGAGTTGAGAATGGTGTCCAACTTTGCGTCATATTTCCCTGCATAGTGAAGCAATGGCATCCATGAGGGCTCAAACACTGGCAAGGACCCCGCAGTAACATTGCTGTACAATTTCGATCTTACACTCCTCTCTATGAATAGGAAGGCTAGTTTGAAGAAATGTGACAGAGCTTTCCCGCCAACCTAATATAATTTGGCAATTTCCGTTATTTGTAATAACATCGACCTTTTTGACTTAATGAGTTGTTTAAGATAGGAAACTCGAAAAAATTAGTAACCGTTTCATATAAGCCCATGGGCGGGATCGCATTTAATAAGTTATCATAACTAAACAGCTAGCTACATTCCCTCTGTGCTCATCAGCTAAATCAAACCTCTTCCACTGAACGTGGAAAGTGTAGAAGAAAGCTGAACTTACCACACTGTCATAGAATCTTCTTCGTTTTTCTGCTCTTTTGGAGCAATCCACAATCCGCGCTCGCAACTGCTTCTCCTGACGGCGAGCCTCATGCCACATATCTCACCCCTACAAAACAGGAGGATGTTTGAAACTTCTCAAATAACCCTGGATATTGGAGAAATTTTGCAGTGTCAAGCTCATAATAACGCCTTTAAGCGCCCGAAATGGTACACAGCGGATTAGGGGGAGGTTACCTTGTGAAGAACTGTTAAGAAAGTGGTGGCTCACTCAATAAATTCGCACATTCGTGAGGGTTTACAGGCTTGTCGAAATTGAGAGTTCTTAGTTAACATGAACAAGCAAGGGAACTAGCAAAAGTGCCAAGCACCCCTCCCAAGTCGAACAGCGTCATACCACTTTTTCGTTTCTTGGTAACATCCCGTCACTGAGTGATATTTACCTACAGAGTATAGGAAAAGAGGAAGCGCTCTATTATCAGGAAGTGATAAGTCAGAATATAAAATAATGGCGAAATGTGTTGAGGAATAAGGACTAGTGTTAATGATGAGGAACACATAGAAATGAAAGGAGGAGAACTTAAGGCAGCAATCTCCTCAAAAAAAGGCGAACGGCACTGAAAAAAACGTGTGAGCCGTACAGTCAGCTTTTGCCTACCATCAAACCGTTTAGACTTCGCGATCGGATCGCTCGATTGGATCGCGCGATCACGACTGGGGGCGCTCCACCGCCTAACGTTGCACCGCCGCAACGGTACAACTGAACTGGCACTGTGTGAACACGGCCCAAATGGAATTGTGCCGTTGCGGCGGCGCACCTCTTTGCGGTGAGCCTCCTCTGTCGTGATCGCGCAATCCAATAGCGCGATCGCGAAGCCTGAACGTGGTTTTACGGATATCAGTAAGTTATAATAGAAGCGTATAATAATTCAGAGGTAGGATAATCCGAATAACAGTTGAGACTCAATGTGGCAAACACGCAATTCATAATATTTATTTCATATTAAAGCAAATATAACATTACTCAACACGGGCAATATTTACAACAGATATGATACCGCGTACTGCGCAGTACAACGCATATTAAATGTGAAGCTTCTAGTTGTCATACAAAGAATTCCTTGCATCGCCTGTCCAGAATTCCATGAGCTCGAGCGAGTAAAGTTTCTTGGCGAATAAGGGCATCATCTAGGCCTTTTAACTCCTAAAAATTTCGAACTAGAAACGTTCATACTTCCAGGCACATGTTGAGAGTTCGCCAGCGTTTTCAGCGACTAGGAAGGTATAGGTGTCGATATAAGCTTATGAGCATCCCAGGCGTTTTCAGCGATAATCGATACCCGCACTTTCTTGGTAGCTGAAAACGCTGCCGAACTTTGAAAACCCGATGCCCAATACGTTGGATGGATACACCCCGGATTCTCAAAACGCTGGATCGATACCTATATTCTACTAGTCGCTCAATGCGCTCAAAATGCTGACGCAAAGTTTGAACGCGTTCTAAACTAAGCGGAGAAACGAGGTAGGTCAATCTAACAAGACTTACATCCTCATAAACCTCTTCTGGATGATCGAGTTGCCATTGCAAATCTATTTTTGTAAATTCAGAGCACACATCCAAGCAAGAATCACGGAACTAGAAAGAATTTTTGAATTCAAAAAAATCTAGCAAGAGTCCAAAAACGCAAAATGTTCCTCCCATCCCCCTTGGGAACGACAGCGCCTACTTTCTATGATATAATTCATGAACTGCATTCGAGTGTCTTTCTTCCAGGAAGAAACCAAAACCAAAGAATGTGGAAATGGCAGCACAAAAGGCGGATCTCCCATTTCCCAAAGTGATCGCACACACTTACATGATACATCGATATTTCAACCACTTCTTTGACATGATCAATGGTCGATGGAGCAGGAACCGGTGCACGAGAAGAGACGTTTGAAAGAAGTTGCGCCCAGCGAACCATCAAAGCATCGATTGCATCACCAAGAGGTGTTTTTTCCACTTCCTTATCTTCGAATATTATACTCACTGGCTCCTCTTTTGTGGTAGCTAAACGGCACAGATTCAAATAAGCGGTCAACGGAAAGGGCATCTAAAATGATTAGAATTCTTCCTAGTGGCACGTGAAAGTTTGTACCGAAAAGCTACTGAAGTCCATTTTTTACAAATAGCTCGAATGAGGAAAATGTTGTATGGCAAGTCTGCTATATTGTATCAGATGGCTAACGCGAAATATTAGGCGCATGCCAAAAAGAACTCTTTGGGCCGACCACTGACAGGATATCTGTACCGAAGACTTGGCTCAACTTCCATTATTGATATAATAACGTATCCACTATCCTGACGAAAGAAAAGAAAGAAAAGAAGAAAGAAAGCAAGAGTGAGAGTGCGTTCATACTTCCCGGCAGCGTTTTGAGCGCTACAGTACAGGTATCTATTAGGCCTTCTGAGCTGTAGCGTTTCGAGCGAACACCTGCGTTTTCAGCGATAATCGACACCTGTACGTTCTTTGTCGCTCAGAACGCTGCCGGACCCTCTGAGCGCTGACGATACCTATACTTTCTTAGTTGTTCAAAAGGTCGAAATGTTGGCAGACGCTTGAAATGCCGCCACAAAGTATGAAGGCACTCTGACTCCTGTTAGTTCCTATCAGCCATTAAGTCGCTTCCTGTCTTTTTTCATAAGTTTTCCGTCCTACATCCCTAAGCATTCGTCGGATCCACGCTCTATCGCTGCTGTGGGGCGCATTATGAGGTATGATACCCCTATCACCTCCTCCCACTTGTATTACTCCCTGTCACCCACCAATAAGCTCTCGTCGCACCCCTATATCACCTACAGGATCGCGTCCCTCTGGTTCTGTGAAGGACGTTATGATTCCAGTGACCTTCCCCTTCTGATGCTCCTTATCAGCTCTTATTTGCTATTATTTTCACCAATGATGTTCTCATCTCACACCCTATATATCAACTTGAACTCACTGCGGCGACATCAAAAATAGTTATGAATTTCCGCTCAAACATACATATACGCGAACAGATAAAAGCAGTTATTTATTATAGTAGGAAACTTTCTACATTGCTCAGCTACCTAAAGACAGTTCCCCGACCAAGTGGTCCGCGAAATGCCTCCGTACATTTGGCATCGCAGTTCGCATTTGCAGAGAATATGTTGAACGGCGGCGTCGAGGCCTACTACATGTGTCCCCTCTTCATGACGTCTTTATGTGAGTCGTATCTGGATACAAGCCGAGAGCTCTGCGTTCGCTTCAGGCCTCTTCATATCTCGTCTAGTGATTGCTCGCAATTCTGGCTATTTGATACTCGATATTTGAATTCTACTGCTGGCTTGAGATCAGGGCACAGCATTAGTTGGGATTTTGGTCGAGCCCGTACCCGCCCCCCCCCTTTTTTTGGAGGTTCGGTACGACCCCCCCCCCTCCTATACATAAACTTATGAAGTTCCTTCCCCTCCCCCAGAGGAGAAAATTGTACTTCAGGAGAAGGAAACTTCAGGAAACTTCATAAGTTTATGTATGAGTAAGCGCGAAAAAGATGGAAAAAGTAACAGTCCTGAACAAGCCCCCCTCGCTTTTTGCTCATTTCTATCCTGATTCGGAAAACAGAATAGAAAAGAAAGGCTATTAGGCTTTACCCACCTTTCCTCCAGTCAAAACAAACTCTGGTACCTGAATCAATGACAATTTAAAGAAAAAAAAACAGGAAATTAAACCAACTTCTCCTAAAAGCACTTTGAGCGGTCCAAGCAAAACTGCTGGGGAGCGCTCTGACGCGTATTCGAGTAAATTGAGAAGAAGATAAGTAATCGATATTCGAGTACCGAGAAGAAGATAAATATTCGATATTCGAATAAACCAAGAAGAAGATAAACACGAAAGAGTATATACGAACGAGAACAAACGAGCCGAATCAGCTGATTGAAGGTCGAGGTACCGGGGGAAGGGATTCTGGGCAGGACCAGCCATGTGGAACGCGAGTTTTCAGCAAAGTGGTTTGTCTTTGAAGGGCCATAACTTCCTCAAAAACGGACCTGTGGGGAAGAGGAGACCGTATCCGTGTAGAGGAAGGTTTGCACTTCCTAAAAGCACTGAAACGTTTATGAAGTTCGCAAAAATCACAGAGAAATTTGCCATAAGGATTTGTTGGGGAGTGATTTCAACTGAACAGGTTTGAATCAATATATATTATTTGTAACTCAACATTTCACAAATCTGAGAACGGTTTCGAGTGTTTGAAGATTTTCTCTTTCCAAAAACCTCTTGAACGGTTTCTGAAGTTCTCGGTATTCATGAGATCTCGCGATGGAGATTTCTAGGGGAACACTCCCAGCTGGGCGAAAAACCCGTTTCTCGTGTACCGCTTCAAGTGAGCGTGTTCGAAGAACCAGGAACGCATGAAAAACGTATCCTGTGGTGGAGCAGGAGCAAAATATGGTTTGTTTAGCGCCAATTATGCTGACTTCGGATGCGCTGCGTATTTAGGTCCGCGCAGAAGTGATGGGATGGTGATATGTTTGAGCGTAGGACCTGACCGCCATGGACCTCCCTGAATTCTATAGGATTCAGGGAGGTCCATGGCGAACCTGTGCACTTGTTTACAGTGTTTTCCGTTGCGTATGATGGAGCGTGTCCCTGTCGACGCCGCCAGATTCGTGCTCCGTCAATTGCTGATTCCGATGAAGGAGACCAACTGCTGGAAAACGTCTGATACGAACGATATGGTACTCCTGTCGTTTGTCGAAAAAAGCAGGTTGTCTCGGCGCCAAGCGCGATCGCGGGCACGCCCCATCATCCGCAGCGAACCAGAGTATGAGTTGTACTGTTTGGTCACTTACGAGATGATGTCGACCTTTTATATTTCCAGTTATTTCAGATTAGTTTGATGAATGAAAGTTTTGTACTATTTTTTTTACATATCCGAGTTCTCTACAAAGCAAGCTTCGCTGTACAGTACTCAGCACACTGACGCTCGTTACTGGCTACTGCACTCATTACGACCCCCCTCTCCTGGCGGCCAAATACGACCCCCCTGTTTGGGACTCCCCAACCAACGATGTGCCCTGCTTGAGATACTGCCGACACCCACGCCTATCCCGTCGACTGTTCGATCGATATTTTGGTCTACCGTGGTCTCGCTGGACAGTGCATGAACGTTTTGATCTAACTATTCGTACGGTTCTAAATTTTCATCTGAGCCGGTATGTGATATTATTGAACGTCGTAGATCTGTTATTGTAATTGGAGTTCCGGAGAGCCGGATTAATTTAAGTAGTCAAAGGATTGTTCATGATAGGAATTGTATTAGTAAAATAATCATTCGTCGATCGATTGCTTTCCTCTCGCCGTTATCGAATGGGAAAACCCTCCGCTACTCGCAATAGGCTTGTAAAGGTTGTGTTCCCTTGCTCCTACTATGCTAGCCTCACCCTCAAGCGCGCGCCTCAGATGCGTACTTTCCCTTCAAGAGCGGTGAATATATAAGGCCATCGCTCTCTAAGGAGGAGCGACAACAGATTCGATCGGAGAGGGTAACGCAACCTCATCATGACGTCACTGAAAGAATACGGCAGGCTGACAACATGAATGGTATTGAAAACCATAATAATGCCACTGTAAACCCTGTTAGGTCAACTTCGCATGCTCATGATAGGTCGATGGATAATTTGGTTGATATGTCTTCTAGTATTTTATCGATGGTTATGCCAAACGCGTGATGTTTCCTCGGATGCCAGATGCCAAACTAAAGTGCTCATATGGAGATATTCGCTCAGTTTCTAGGAATATTGGTGACCTCCTTTACTTGATACAGCTGGGAAACTATGAAATGGTGGTTCTATCGGAAACTTGGCTCTCCGAGTCTATTACCAGCGAGTCGTTGTTTGGTTAATATTGTTCTCAATATGAGGTAATCAGTCGCGAGGGCAGGCGTGGTGGTGAGGTTGTAATCATCGCTAAAAGCATTTATAGTCCTAGCTTGGCGTTTAAGGAGTCGGTTCGCGATTCCTATGAGGTCTTAGCTGTGGACCTGATATGACACAGCAGGGATCGTTGCTATTTACAAGGCTCCTTCTTGCCCTTCTTCAGCCTTTACCCAGTTGCTGAAGGCGGTTAGTGATCTGGTCGCATACAATTCGTCGTTCCTTATTTTAGGAGATTTCAATCTCCCTGAAGTTGTTTGGACGGAAGAGGGTGTACCCGCTTCAACAGCTCTCGAGCTGCACACTTTATTGACCTATGTCGTAACTTAAACCTTCATCAAGCTGTCCACCAAAGCACTCATGGAACTAACATTCTTGACTTGATTCTCACAAACAGCAGGGACTTAATTCAGGATGCCCGCACTGCGCCACCCTTGGGGAACAGTGATCACTCGTCGATTAGATTTAAGCTTAGGCTTGAACCTGATCTGGTCTCCTCTTCTCAATTCAAGAGGGACTTCAGTAAGGTCAATTTCGAATCAATCTTGGCATACTTGAATGATATTGATTGGTTTGGATCGATGAATAGTGTTGACTCAGTAAATGACAAATATGAACTTTTCCTGGCTATACTCCACCATGCTATTGAGCTTTTTGTCCCCCTTAGGCCTGTTAGGCACAAAGACACCTTTCGCTTGCCACCTCATTCAGAGAGACTGAGCAGGAAAAAGAACTTTGCCTGGAAAACAGCCGTGGAAAGTAACGATGCTAAGGACTGGGACACCTATAGGAAATTCAGGAGTAATCTTGACAGCTTAGAAAATTTCGGTGTCGTATAGAGAGAAAGATTGTATGCTCAGGTAATAAATGCGTTCCATAAATTTCTGCGGGCTCGGCTAGTCACCTGAGAAGCTTGGTGTAATTATTGATGAGGACGGCTCCAAAGTAGCCGATAAGATTAATGCTGAGATGTTTGCAAGTATTTTTGATAAAGTTTTGTTAAAGACAGGAATCATGAAGAAACAGGGAAATTCCTACCTTTCGGTCATGAATGACTCCCTATGGTTTTACAGCCATGAAATTCCTAAGATATCTTACGCTGTGGCCTAGGTCATTTTCAGATGCTCCCGATCACATTCCCTTGTGTTTCATCAAGAAGGCAGCTTTCTGTCATATCAGAGCCTCTAGCATTTATTTACAACCTAAGCTTTATGAGATCCAGAGGTTCCCACTGGGTGGCGGATGTCCTTTGTAACCCCTAATTCCAAGAAACAGCCTTACATCAGCCCTCACAATTATAGGCCCATTAGCCTAGCACCTATTTTTGCCAAGATTATTTGAAAAGGTAGTCAAGAAACGAATTATAAGCCATTTAGAGGAACACCATATCATCTTCGAATCAACACGGCTTTCAGAAGGGTAGATCCCTGATTACGGCTATGCTCCAATCACTCAATGATTGGACTTCCTATTTGGACAGCGGGTGGGACCGACGTTATTTACCTAGACTTTGCTAAGGCATTTGATAGAGTTTCACATGAAAAGCTTATAAATAAACTTATTTTAACCCACTGCGTACCGCAGTGTATTTGCGCGACGCGATTTCTGGCGCGCTGAGTATAAAAACATAAGATTTTTATCTTACACATATAACATAAAAATATTGCACACACATCGTATTATGCATCAACTTTTATAAGTATACGTATGTATGCTTAAGGGATTCAATATTGTTACGTGATAAAAGAGTAAAGCCGAAAAATGCGGAACTAGCCAAAAAAGCTTGATAAAATTAAGAGGAATTGAAAAAGTGACGCAGTGTGCTTAGAAGGTGTTCACTCACAGCATTTTACAATTTTTCAGTCGTATACTAAGCAGGATTTCGGTTTCATTGGTAAAGGAGAGTTAATTAAAAAATGTAATAGTTGAGGTATTACTCGAAAAATGCTAGCAACATAGTTATTATTCAATCTCGCAATTTCCCCCACACATATTTTGTCCCTGACGACTTCAGGAATATACCTACTCTTTCCAGTCATCTAACAATGCTAAATGAGTTCACACTAAGAATGCTTCACCATGTGCAGCACGCGGTACGCAATGGGTTAATAGGCATCCACCTTACACCCCATCCACCCCATTTTAAGCTGTATCACCCCATTCGCTCACCAGATGATCCACGCCTGCTCCAAGAGGCCATTGATGAAGTGTACCGCTGGGCTAGCCGGTGGAACCTACCTTTGTCTAAGGACAAAACTAAATCTTCGCATAGGTAAGGCGACCATTCAGGCCGATTCTCCATCGATGGGATGCTATTGGAACGGGTCACACAAATCACCGATCTAGGATTTCTTGTTACTAAGGACCTATGTTTTGACCAACACTATTTAGAATTGCCTCGGAAGCTGTGGCACATATGTTTATCTTATTCAGAGCACTATTATCTGATGACCCAGTTGTCCTTTGTAGGGCCTTCAAGACTTATATTAGACCTCTGCTGGAATACGGAACAGTGGACTTCAATCCATACAAAGCTCGAGTTGTTAAATTGTTGGAAAGCATTCAGAATAGTTTCGCTAGGAAGGTTTTTTTAAGATCTGTGGGATTCCAGTATGACAGGATCCCTGGTAATAAAACGCGTAATATCAATCTCCATATCGAGCCGCTCTCCCTTAGAAAGAGGAAATTTGATTTAATAACACTCTTCAAGATCTTTCATGGTTACTCGGGTATTAGGCCTAGCGCATTGATGGGAATTCACGAAACAACGACTAGAGGCTCGGTAAGGAAAATTACCATTCCGCGAGCTAGACGTAACGTTAGACACCATCTCTTCCTCAATCGAACCTGCCAAGAGTTTCATAGGATACTCTCCTTGGGAAGGTCATCCAATAAACTTACTTCCTTTAAAGCCACTCTGGAAAAGTATCCTGATGTCACATTTACTCTGTTTGATGGGCTCAAAAATTGTCTGCTTCACTTCCTGTGTGCTGCTTCTTTCTGTTGTTTGTGTTGCTACTAATTGTATTGTTTTTCTTACTAGGTGTTTTTTTTCTTTACCCTGTTGTGCCACACGGGTTCCCGTGTAATAAACATAACATAATATACCCCTTTCGTCACTCGAAGAGGCCCTATGAAGAGGCTAGAGACATGTGAATATTGCAACCATTGCAACCACGATTACTTTCAATCAGCGAAACGGCTTGGAACTGCATATGTACATAGCGTTACCTGGAGCGTAGTAAGGTGACTTCCTGTGCTCTTGCCGGGAATCGGTCGCACGTCGAATTCTTTTGGCTTGCCGACGCCCGACAAATCCAGGGCGCCCACTGCTGAGGGAGTCTCTGCTCAGAGGGTTCCCAGAATTCTTTTGCGTTTTTCTCTACTGGGTAGTTACTCGTGGGCTACGGTTCATGATGAGCACCTACTAGCCGTGATACTTAATCGCGGGAATTGTCTTCAAACGCCACTACTTCCCAATTTGGCACATGCTGTCGCGCCAAGACTAAACGTTAAAGTAATGGTGAACATGGGACAGACTTGAGACAACAAGTTTACTCGAAAATAGCGATTTCATAAACGCTAGTTGGGAGGGAGTGGAAGCACGTAAGCCCTCACGGCCCTACTGCATCGACTCGACATAGCGCCGAAAAATTGTTGTGGGTCCGCTTTTCCGCATGGTTTCTTATATTGATCCACACTTTCCAAGAGGGTCTAGTTAGGTGGAGACCAGCCTTTTTGGGCCGTAACTAGGAGAGACAAATACGCATTTATAGGTGGAAAGAAGGGTGGTAGTTGCCTTTGGAGAAAATGTAGACTTGTCTTGGTTTCGCGTTTTACGAGCGCTATGGATCCTCCCCCACCGCCACGCTCGACGACTGAAAGCTGGAGAATGTCTCCCAAAAATTGGCAGGAAGTTGTAAGGCAGAAGGGTGTATGGGACGTATTTTAAAGCTTTTCTCAAGTAGTTGCCATGAAACCTGAAATTTTCGAAGCACATCCCGCCGACCATGGCGGAGCTTAGTTCAGTTGTGTGTTCTGCCATGTCACCCATGCCCCACCCATAGCAAACTTGAATCGCACACTTCAGGTGAATATATAGGTAAGCTAGATTTTCGAATCTTAGCGACTTATTACCTACCATCACTTTTTGGACATTCCCTAAAACCTCGACTTTCTAGAGTCGCAGGTATTACGCAGCCTTACGTCTATTTATTATTGTCTACGTATGCAGGATGGATTTGAACGGGAACTTCGACTACGAATCTTGCGGTAAACTTATACTTCGTAGAAAAACTGTGGCTAGCAAACCACTAGAAATCAATGAAAATGAAGTACCTTTTGCTGGATCGCACGGAGATGATGGTACTGAATCATCGCCCAAGACCAACTGTTTGAGCTGCGACATGGCAGGCGATCCTATTTTGAAATTATGAGGAAATGGACGTAGTTCGGCGACAGGGGGCATTTTTCACCTTCGCTGATTCATTATTTTCGGTTTGCTCACTCTGGTGAACCTGCGAACACTTGTGAACCTGGAGCGAGTATCTCATTGCTTTATAAGTTGACAGATAAACAACAAACCCCCCACAGTGTCATTTCGTGGCTTTACAAGATTTCACAGGCCTTCACTTGATGGCCCGACACTTCGATAGGAAGTAGCAAAGGTGCAAAATGCCCCTCCCCCACTCTGTCGCGGAAAGAAGTTCAGCTAAAACACATGGAAAGATCCTGTCATGAACATGAATTGTGGATGACACTAACCTTCCATTGAATTTCACCGGCCTGGATTGATCCTATTTTTCAGATTTAGCTATGACAGCCGTCCCATAAAGGATAAATCACTGATGGAAAACGAAACACATTAGGCATTAATTCGTACCATTACTTAATTAAGGGAAAAATGAGATCAAAGAAGTATTATATAACTCGTGCTGCTGAAGCAACCTCCGAAATTTAAGTAGTGACCAGAGGCAGACAGCAGCGAAACATCAACGACCCCCCCCTCCCCCAACGAGAAAGCACCAGTACTGTCCTGAAATGAACTTCACCCCCGTAAACATCCACAATCACATGCAGTCGCGTCGCGGTCTTCGCGTTGGAGCGCGTTGCCCCCACCTGGTGAAGACGCGCCATCCAGGGTCAAGCGTATGGTGCGGCATCCGAGATGGGGGGGGGAGGAGGGCGAAAGGTCGTATGTGGCCTGTAGATAGGGACAAGGGCTCGTGAGAGTTTGGCGACAGGAGTCATTTCACACTTTTGCTGCTTCACTAGTTCCGATTTACATGTCCAGCCGTGTTAAAACGTGTGGACTCTTGCGAAGCCGGAGCAAGCTCGTCGAGTTACCATGATGAAGCCTGTCAACTCAAGAAAAGGTTCTCTAGATGTGTCGACACGTCGAGAGGTAGTAACAAAAGTGCAAAATGCTCCCCCCCCCCGTCTCCCAACTGGGTCGTAAAGGTCTCCCAAGGGGTAGTATTTGAAGGTCTCATCAATGTATAGAGCAGAGGTATCATTATTGGGACACTGCCCTGCTTTGTACGCGCTGTGGAGTATGGTATCTCAATAGGGATGAAATTCATGACAAATCCATATAGTGTGAATGAAACTAAGGTAATGCCACAATTAAGCTTCGTATTAATACGGCTATAAACCCATGAGTCAGTCAAGAAAGTTGCTTGCTCCATACCAGGGCCGTACTCCATAGATCCACGTTCTATAAATGTCGCTGCTCATCTGGATGGAACACGAGTGCGCAGCGCATTCTAAAGGGAGCTTGCCATTGCCCTCGCGCTTCGATTTTTTTTCCTCACAAGTAGATGAGCTGTGTTGAAAGCCTTCCGGGGTATTCGAAGGGCTTCCCCCTCATCTCACCGTAAGTTCAACAGTGTGCCGTTTCTTGCAATCGTCATGATATTGCAGGTTCGCGGCGACCAGCTATAGCCAGATTGAAGCGTTTCATAAGGACCCTCTCTTAAAACCCGTTTCGTAACTTTTCTGCTCCACTGTCACACTCAGTGTCTCTATTTCCGTTTTCTGTAAGAAACCATGATATCGTTCCCACTGCCTTTCCTTGGCCCCCGCCATGTGGGGTGGATGGGCCCACAGTCGCGAAAATGCCTCTTTCTCCTTTCACAAGAGCTCAGAAACAGGGCTGGAGGGTAGGGATACTCGAATGCCGTCTCCATATTCCGCCCACGCTGCTGGAAGGCCAGCCAAACGCCTACTTACAGCCAAGGGCTAATGCCGTTTGGCCTCCGAAAATTTCGTCTTCGAGCTCATTTTCAAATAGCCTAAGTCACCAATTCCGCTAAAAACTTGTATATAGGGGCATTTCAACATCCTGATTACGAGTATGACACTCATTCTTGGGGCTGGCGCAAAGAGAGGACACTACGATTACCTCCTGGGCTCAGCCTTAGCAGAGCGCAGGTAACCGTAGTGTCATCCATTAGGGCCAGCGCCAAAAATGAATGTCATATTCGTGATCAGGGTGTTAAATTACCCCTATATATAAGTTTTTAGCGGATCGGTGATCTTGCCACTTATAAAATGAGCTCGAAGACGAAATTTCTGGAGTGCAAACGGCATTAGCCACAGCCAAGCGCGCTGTTTGTCTGCAACCCCTCATTTCTAGTTGTTTTTCTACAGCTGAGTATGAGCTTCGCTGCGAGATTGTGGTATCGACACAATCTATTGTGGTATGCACAATGAGGATAGTGAGGGCAAACCACGGAGACGGCATCCTGGTTTCAGGGTCTACGGACAACCAAAACTCAATTCCTTACATGGCTCCAACTCTGTTTTTCTCAGTGCTCTCACGACTGCATGGCGCTTTGCGACCAGTCTGACCTTTCACATTCCATCTTTCATGTGTCACATCATAATGAAAGTTTCACCTACCCCGGTGTTCCCACTCTTTGAAAAGGTCATCTCCAGGCTCGACATGTTTTTTGTACTTCTCGATGCTTTTTCAGCGCCGTGTGGTCGACACGAACTTTCCAGCAGCTCATATTCCTATGGCTCTCGCTTACAAGGGAGGTCTTTCAGGTCATGGCGCGCTTTTTAGAAATGGTTTGTTGCATGTTGTAGGGGCTCATATGAGGATCACAAAAATGGGTTTCGTTTTTGCTATGCATTTCTGGGAATGTCAAAAAATGTCAAAGAGTGAAAAGTTTACTGAGGAAAAGCTACTTTGCGCCAATTTTCTAGACTCCTTTCTATTTCTAATGTCGAGTATGCATAGCAAATGAGACCTTCGTCTACAGTGCATCGAAAACAATACAAGTCGAAATAAAAAAGTACTTTATTTGGCACACAGTGAGGTAGCATTGTAGTTTCTCATACGATTCTCGCAGCATCCCAACCAGGGTACGCCATCGTTGTGATCAGCACAGGGGGTCGTATTTGACCGCGAGGGAGGGGGGGGGGCGTATTTGGTCAAAGAAAAATTTTTTTTGATAGTTGTCTTGTTTCACGGACGCTGTAAAGAGGGGGGTCGTACTTGGTCATTTTTGGGAGGGGGGTCGTATTTGGTCAGTTCCCGGACGCACTACTATTTCCGACACTTGAAAATGATAGTTTAATTTGACAACCCCCCCTCCCCCCCCCCCGCTCGACGACGCGCTCGCGTTCGAGGAAGGACGAGAGGCGCTGGCGAGGGAGGGGTCTTATCCAGTTCCAAAAAAGGGGGTCGTATTGTTTAGTATGGAATGCAGGGGGCCGAGGGTTCGGTAAATTCTAGGAAAATGATTCACAACGCGACTAGTGCCCGCATCCCACTCGCGAGCCGGGGGAGGAGTTTAAGGCCATGGTCTGGCGCCAAATGGCTAGAGCCAATTGTAGGCGTCAGAACCTCGGTCAGGGGCCTGTTTATAACTATAGCATGCGGACTTCCAGCGGGTATTTTTCTCTCGAGTTCGAGCTATTGATAGTTGGTCGTGTGAACTGCTGCGCTACAGGATATACTGTAACAAGTAGTTATCCAATTTCGTTACCTTGGACCTTTCATATTTCGCAGGG